GTTCATCATCTTCCTCCAAGATTGAAGACAAGAAACCAGTTAATCAAAAGCTTGTTCCTTTCTCAAGTCAAAATCGTTTTTCCCCATTAACTCCAATTGCAAAAAATTCTCAACTTTATTCAAACATGCTACAATCAAAACTAGCTACTCCAAACATTTCTCCAGTTCAATCAATTAGCCCTTTTTCAAAACCTATTCCTTCTGAAACACAAATTTCAACAAATCCTAAACCTACAAATAAAGCCCCTTATGTTCTCAATCCAAATCTCTTGAAAATCCAAATACTTGAAGATTCTCAAATTCTTAAGCTTAATCAAGGTTTTCATGTTCTTACTGAACACCTCTTTGGTCGAGGAAAAACCTTTCATGAAAACTCTTACAAATCTCGAGAATATTATCAAACCATTCTACAAGAATCTGGATCTGTTCAGATTGATCACCGTTCTAATAATAAGGAAGGATCTATTGATTTTAGCAAAGCCCGAATTCTTAAAATCATTTCTCCAGAAAATTGGTCATCCAATCTTTCCTTCGAAAAACCCCTTTATCAATTCCCTGCTTATCCAAGATATTCATATTATGATTACCAAGAAGCTTGGACTAAAGCATTTTTTCTTCGAAACTATTCTCATTCATGGTTCATTTTCTTTGATAAAAATTTCAACTGTGAATACCCCAGATGGTTTGTCAATTGGTATCGTTATATGGGACTTGTTCCTATTTGTTTACCCACTGAAATTCTCAAAGGATTTTCTAAATTCAAAGAACTATTTATTCAACAAATCCCAGAATTTGAATATTTGTTACAGTTCACCATGTTATTCAAAGTTCCATGGATCATGTCCTGGACATTCTCTTATCAAGAAGCAACAGACTTAAATCCCCCTTGGCTCAATAGACAATTTCGTCTAAAATGGTGGGATAAAGTCACAATTTCTCAAGCAAACGAGCAGGCTGTTTTCAATCATTATCAATCAATGTATAATCAAAAGCCAGAAATTGAAGCGAATCTTATCAAGAGTCTATCTTCTCCAGATGCTAATCTTATTAGCAAAATTCGTGCCGCTGCAAATTCTTCCCCTGAAGATCTACAACAATTACTTCAAGAAATTCGCAATTCTCCAACTAATTCAGAAAATTCTCCCACATCTGTCAAAAATAATTTTCAAGATGCTCAAGATCCTTTTGATGATCCATTTGCAGATTAATTAAATTTTATTTTGGTGTTATACCTTCAATGTAAGGTATTCTTTCATTTCGTATTTCACCCTCCACCCTTGGTGTCATACCTTTTTTAGGTATTTTGCAAAAGTGTTTGTTATTCAAGGGGGGGTAGTACGTGTTATCAAATTGACGTGTTATCAAATTGTGTTAACTGTTATCAAATTTATACACTGTGTGAGTACATCAATTATCAAAAATATTATCAAATCTTCTGCAGAGATAAGATGCTAAATTATTACACGAAAACAAACAACTTTTACAAAGATGAAAGAAGATGCTCCATTATCGCAAAAGAAGATTTTCCATTATCAAAAAATGACAAAATATGATGCCAATTTGTCAAAAGCTTTAGAGTTTTGTCTGCCACATCTACACTCCGACAAATGCAAGTGATTCAATAATTATCAAGATTGATCCGGTAATCCTTCGGTTTCCCGTTTCAAGATATTTCAAGACTCCAAGACTCCTATATATTGAGGAGATATATTAGAATCATCTCTAGGTTCTCTAAAAATTTCTCTCATTTAATTTCTCTCAAATGTTTAGTTCATGTCTAAGAAAAGTGTTCTCCTATCTACTTCTAGATGTTCAAAATCTTTAGATTTTCAAATCATACTTGCTCCAGACGGATGCTCTGATTGTAATTTAAAAGAAGGTAATATATAAAGAATTTTATTCAATTGTTGTATTATCTCTATGGCAATCTCATTTCGAGTTATTCTAACTATTAATTCTACAAAATTTGAAATTTTTGTTAAAATAATACTCGCATTTAATAATAATCAAGTTAATCAAATTCATGCTTGAAATATTTAAATAACTTTTGTTCTTTTATTATTCATCATGTCTGATTCAAAGATACAAGCTAATCGTCATTATTATTGTAATCAATTAAAAGCTTTACAAGTTCTAATCAATAATCATAAGTTTATAAGCAAAGATAGAAAACAGTTTTATAAAATAATGTATGATTTTTATCATCAAAAAATATCTGAAACTACTTGTTAATTAGTTTTATAATTAGTTCTGCACGATTGGTATGATTTTTATCATCAAAAAATATCTGAAACTACTGATTAATTAGTTTTATAATTAGTTCCGCACGATTGGTATCAGAGCTAGTTATGTATGATATTTCTGTTTGTTATTTAATTAATTTTTGTTTAAAGAATTTTAAGAAAATTATGAGTTTTGTTAAGAATGATACAGAGACCAGACCAGTGATTGGTTGGATTAGCGTAAGACGTGCTGAAACAGAATTTTCATTCTTATTAATCATTTGTTTTATCAACAATTCTTGGATATTTTTATCTTTAATGGAATCTAAATTTTTTAAAAGATCTTTGTCATTGTTTGTAAGGACATTAATTGAATAATTACAATTACATTTTCCAACACATTCGCATGTATCAGAATCTTCCAAACTTGAACTATTTTGCTCTGAACTAATTATAAAACTAATTAACAAGTAGTTTCAGATATTTTTTGATGATAAAAATCATACATTATTTTATAAAACTGTTTTCTATCTTTGCTTATAAACTTATGATTATTGATTAGAACTTGTAAAGCTTTTAATTGATTACAATAATAATGACGATTAGCTTGTATCTTTGAATCAGACATGATGAATAATAAAAGAACAAAAGTTATTTAAATATTTCAAGCATGAATTTGATTAACTTGATTATTATTAAATGCGAGTATTATTTTAACAAAAATTTCAAATTTTGTAGAATTAATAGTTAAAATAACTCGAAATGAGATTGCCATAGAGATAATACAACAATTGAATAAAATTCTTTATCTAATATTGAAAAGGACACATATAATTATAATATTCAAAAGGAAATAATATATTGTTTATCAAAAATGATTAAAAATAAAAATATTGTTATTAGTGTTCAACTTAGTATTATTAAAAATATATCTTTCAGATTAAATCAATCAACTTGTTAAAATGAATAATAATAGATATTTCTAAAAACCTTCATATATATATATATATATATATATATATATATATATATATCATATATATATATATATATATATATATAGAGAGAGAGAGAGAGAGAGCCATACACACACATAGATATATACACGGACAGAGATAATTGGCTGAATTTGGTATATTTCTAATATTGCACAGATGCATGATGAAAGAGTCTCAACACACAAAAACACACATAAAGTTTGTTTTTATTCAATTTTGTGTATTTATTTACATTTATGTCTTCTTTTATTTATTTAATCCGGTAACTTTATTGTTTTAAGATGGAAGAATTAGTTAGGAAGAATTTTTTCTTGTATCTATTTAATTTGTTAACTTTATGGTTTTAGGGTGGAAAAATTAGCTATGACGAATTTGAAGCAATGATGAAGGCGGGAACTAAATTGAGGAAAGCATCTGAGATTATTTAAGAAAGGGATAAAATAATTTGATATTGTCTTAAAATTGTTCAAAGATGGTTCTACATCAAGCGAACATAAAAATGTATTTATGTTGCAAATTAATAATCCATGTCAAGATATGAAGAAAACTTTTTTTTTTCTGTCTAATTGTATGTTTAATTAAGTTCTAATCAAGAGTTGAGATCTTTGTTTTTTCGATAAGTTGTATCGTTTTGAGTTGTAAATATGAGATCTCTTTGTTTACGATAATGTATATTGTTTAGGGTTTAAATGGTTTATTTGTTGTTATAGATATATTGTCATCATCGGTATACTTATTTATGGGGATGAATATTTTCATAATATGTGTTGATATGGTAGTCGTTATTATTTATCATATTTACAAACGTAAAATATAATTTGCAATAATATAAAACTATACAATATTAATAATGTTAGGAGAAAGAAACAATTCTCTTGATAAAAGTCATACTAATATGGTTAATAACATAATTTTTTAAATTTCAATCGATTAAATTTAATTAAAGAGATCATTACTTAAATTTTCAATCAATCATTATATTATTACGAAATCAATGACAAAACATATTTATATTTATTAATAATTAAATCTTTTATTATCATTGCTCAATAATTAAGTTATAATTTGATTAATTTTTTTAAAAAATTTCTCGTCGGTAGTGTTCACACGTTATAACCTTAACTAGTTGTGAGACGCATGTATTACATATATTAATTTTTTTTTAAAGTTAAATATAAAGGTTAAATTTGTGAGCTTTGAAATTATAAGAAAATAAGAAAAATAATGAATTATTATAATGGAAATGTTTTTTATCTTTTAAATTTAAACAAATAATTTAAATTAATAAAAGAAACTAATGAGCTTTTAACTTTATGAATTTTGAAATTAAAATGTAAGTTCATTAATGAAATTGATATCAATTTATTACTATATTTATTGCAATTATTACATTAAAATATTATGTGGAATTTAATAAAATAGAAAATTTCAAAAAATGACATGTGGAAAAAAAAAATTAATTTAAAATAACCATAAAATTACATTTTGCAAATTGAATGAGAATGTAACAACGGCAAAAAAAAAATTCATCGAGAGAGAGAGGGTGTACTTAGTGTCGGGATATTTATAAAAGGGTGAGATAGTAATTCCAAACGTATGTGAGTATGTCCATGCATTTAAAAGTGCAACAGTTTGTGGACGTCCCTCCACATGTACCGTGAGTATCTTAAATTCATTGTGCAAATTAATTGACTCATGCAAGTTTTGTTGTTTCAGACCAATATGACCATTAACTCCCCATTTTATTATTTTTATTATTTTAGATCTTTTCTTAATCTAACAGCAAGACATTAATCTCCGATCACAAAATTAAACACCAAAATTCAACAAAAAAACAGGAATTTCCCCTGAGGTTTGATGACCTCTGATTTACATAGCAGAAACATAGGAGGGATTGATCCGAGCGGAGAGAGGGAACAAAGAGGAGAAGGATCAAGAACACGAAAAAAGGGACGAATCAAGATAGAGAGAGAACTGGAGAAGCCATTTCCGACGTTTTGCATGTCGTTAATTACAATGGCAGAAACCAGGTGCAAACAACTACATTGTCATGATCAGTACGTTGATAATTATTGTGTAAAGAAACAATCAAATCCAAGAAGGGATGTTTAATTTTTTTATGCATAAACATTGAAACCGACAAAAAGTCTAGGAACAAATTAAATTTATAAATTCATGATCATCCTTACATTTACATCTGCGCGACATGAAGGCATGGGAGGCAACCGTGAGGAAAACACACGCTGCAAGACGACAAGCTAGCAATATCTTCAGTTCATCCCCCGTTGCAAACATGGATGAAGAAGATGAGATTCATGCTGCAGGAGAGGTGTTTCATGCTGAACGTTATCTCCCAAACGGAGATTACTACACAGGTCACTGGTTGGATAACTTTCCTCATGGTTTTGGCAAATACTGGTGGACCGATGGATGCATGTATGTAGGAGACTGGTATCGTGGAAAAACCATGGGAAAAGGCACCTTCAGTTGGCCTTCAGGAGCCAACTATCAAGGCGAATTTAAAAGCGGGTATATGGATGGAGAAGGGATCTATACAGGGCCAAATGGAGATACTTATAAAGGGTCATGGGTTATGAACTTGAAACATGGACATGGGGTGAAGGAATACACTAATGGGGATATATATGATGGGGAATGGTGTGGAGGGTTACAAGAAGGAAATGGTAAGTATCAATGGAAAGATGGGAATTGCTACGATGGAGAATGGAAGAATGGAATGATGTCTGGAATGGGAAAACTGGTTTGGAGTAACGGGAACACGTTTGAGGGGTTATGGGATGATGGTATACCAAGTGGGCATGGGAGATTCAAGTGGGCTGATGGGAGTTTTTATGAAGGTAATTGGAGTAAGGATGCTGCAGAGCAAAATGGTGATTATCATCCATCTGATGATGCTAAAGATGAACATAAAGACTGGTCTCAAGAACAAGTTTATGAAGTTGATCTTAAGGAATGTGAAATATGTCCTCTTGATAAGGTCCCGATCTTGCCATCTCACAAGAAACTAGCAGTTTGGAGATCGACAAAGGGCAGCAGTAGCAGTGCTAGTACTAGTGACACTGCACCTAGGTCCAGACGAATGTCCATTGATGGAAGCAGCTTCGATGTGAGTACTGTTGAAGAAGCAAATTTAAAGGCAAGAGATGATACGTCATTGTCATCATCATCACCTAGTAATTCGTCAGTAGAAGCAAGTCCAATACAAATCCCCAAAGTGGTAAAGAAACAAGGAGATATCATATCCAAAGGACATAAGAACTATGAACTTATGCTCAATTTGCAACTAGGAATCAGGTTATATTTTGAAGTCTTGTGCTTTATTATTTCCTCTTTTCAGCCTTTCATGGTTTTGATTAATCTAATGAAATGATGTCGCATGTAGGCATTCGGTAGGAAGACCGGGTCCCACTCCCTCATTAGACTTAAAGCCATCAGCTTTCAATCCAAAGGAGAAAGTATGGACAAGATTCCCACCAGAGGGATCCAAATACACCCCTCCACACCAATCTTGTGAATTCAAATGGAAGGATTACTGCCCATTGGTCTTCAGGTAACACAATAAATTTTACTTCTTTTTACTTAATTTTTCCTTTTGTATATATATATCCAGACATAAACATATCATTTCGATGTTATGTACTCGTATAGGACATTAAGGATGTTGTTTAAGGTAGATGCAGCTGAATATATGCTATCTATGTGTGGGAATGATTCCCTTCGAGAGCTCTCCTCACCAGGGAAGAGTGGAAGCTTCTTCTACCTGAGTTATGATGATCGGTACATGATCAAGACCATAAAAAAAGCTGAAGTCAAAGTGAGATTCGTATTTCCAATAAGATGAACAATGTTGATCAACTTTCACTTCCATTTTTGGATTAATTAACAAATGTGGATCATTAATTAGGTGATTCTAAGGATGCTTTCTGCTTACTTCAATCATTTCCGACAATACGAAAACACTTTATTGACAAAATTCTTTGGACTGCATTGTGTGAGGTTAACAGGTGCTGCTCAAAGGAAGGTATGTTTCATGACTTAATTATATCTTGGGATGCTATATATATTAGGTGTTAAAATATATTATTAATAATAAGTTAAATAACGTAGGTACGTTTCATTATTATGGGAAATCTTTTCTGCACGAATCACACCATTCATAGACGCTTCGACTTAAAAGGGTCTTCCCTTGGTCGCCTTACGGATAAGCCCGAGTCGGAAATAGAGGCAACCACTATACTTAAAGATCTTGATCTCAAGTACTTTTTCCGATTACCAAAAACATGGAATGAAGAATTCAGAAGGTACAAAATACGACAAAATTAATGCACCGTTGTCAAAATTTTAAAAAGTTTTAGAATTTGTTCATGGATATCATGACTAAATGTATGTGCAGGCAAATAGAGAAGGATAGTGATTTCCTGGAGCAGGAGAGAATAATGGATTACAGTCTCTTGGTTGGTCTTCACTTCAGAGAACCGTCGCACTTAACACCTGTTGGTAATCACTCTTCTCCTTTTCACTTCAATAGAATTCGGATATCATGTTTGTTTAATGATCATATATCTTTCAACTTGTTTAATCTGCAGGTGATGGCACAGTAGAGGACTCATATTCTGTGGCTGATATGGACAAACTTCTTTCAGACCCATCTGGGTAAAACAATTGGTTTTGTTTAAATTAACATGTTAATTTAAAGTAATAGCTAGATTTAGGTTGCACATTGAGTTTGCTTGTGTGTATAATTGCAGACACCAGTTGGGAATTGGCATGCAAGCACGAATTGAAAAGATGGAGAGGGCGATAGAGACAGAACTGATAGGGGAACCAACCGGGGAGTGTTATGATGTTGTAATGTTTTTCGGAATCATAGACATACTTCAAGACTATGACATTACCAAGAAACTCGAGCATGCTTACAAGTCCATGCATTACGACCCTACCTCAATATCAGCTGTTGATCCCCGACAATATGCCAAACGTTTTCATGATTTTATACTCACGATTTTCAAGGAAGATGATCAATAGAAAGGAAAATTTTAGAATCTTTGTACAGATATACGTCTAGTCTATTTCTCTAAATCATATTACGTACTTACCCAAGGCAGGCAGAAGGACCATGTAGAAGTAGCTTCTTTAGTTTCTATAGTGTACAATGTGTTGCCATGTAAGTATACTTGTTTGTTGTACAATACATTTCATGAACAATTCAGTATTTTTCTTCGGAAACAATTATGTACATGTGAAATTTTGGTGTAGAAATAAATGACTTTGCAAGGAATAATTTGCCACGTTCTTTGAGCCAAGACACTACACTTGCACATGCTGTACAATATGGTGTGTCTATCGACATTGACACCAACCATGGCACACCATGATTGTTGACAACTTAATTTAGTGTCATTAGTCATTTTGGTGTGATTGGAATTTATAATACCAAAGGGGATCAAATTGTGATCTAATGCAAGTCAGCTCGTGTCAAGTGCATACTTTATAAATTGAGTTTGATCCCGAACACGGCGAAATTAACACAGGTCAAAAAGGTCACGCCAAGACGTGCAATTTACCCCAACCTACATGGTTGATTTATGTAATTTAGTCAATGTTTCATTTACTTTTCCAAATTATAGAAAATAGTATTTATTATAATTTATAAATCTCATTAGTTTCATACACAATGCCAAGTAGTACTTCCCTCATGCTCATATCAAAAACTACAGAAAATATATATTAAAATAAAAGGATCGAATACAACAGTTGCATCATGTTCATACAGACTTATACATATGGTATAACACAATAGACCAATTATACCATACCCATAGAACAATATGATACATCATTATATTTCGATACCAAAAACCCTATTTTACAACAGCCACGTTATTTCTTCAAAACCAAAAAGCTTCGGTTTCATTTAGACTTCAACACCTATCCTTTCAGCAATCTAGATTAGCAAATAAACCATTTCATACATAATTATTATAATGTTTAAATTTATATATAAGTCGTTAAGAACTAAATAACTATAAAATACAAGGATAAAATTGACATTTTGTTACATACCTCCTTAAAGGAATGGACATCGCTTCCCCAAAGCCAAGCATCACAGCCTGCATCTCGGGCACCCCATATATCGTTTCTACGGTCATCGCCTACGTGGACAGCATCTTCCGGTTCTACCCCTAATAACTCACATGCTTTTAGAAATATCATAGGATTTGGTTTCTCTGCAGCAACCTATAGAACAAAATCCATTATTAATATCTCAGTTCATTAAGACCCCGTTTGTTATGGAGGACTGGACTGGAACAGACAGGACAAGACAAGACAAGACAAAACAGATTGTTTTGTGTTTTGCCTGCATTGGGACTTGGACACATACTGATTGTACCGACTGATGTCAATGGGACAAAATTTGGAACTGTCTGTCCCTATCATTAAAGATAGCCCTACAAAGCTTGTCTAGTCCTATCCTGTGTAACAAATGGGGCCCACCACCAACAGAAGTTAATTAAATATATCACTTACTTCAGCTGAAACAGCCAAGGCATCGAACCAGTGATCACATTTTAGGGCACGCAGAAGAGGTCTTAAACGTGTGTCAAAGTTTGAAACAATTGCCAATTTTACACCGGCTTTTTTCAGAGCCTTGAACACCTTCTCAGCATTTGGATCACAGAGATGCCATGCCTTTTGATGAGAAACAAATCATTGTTAGATGTATAATTGCAGTGTATATGTATATGATAAAATGAATAAAATGAAATGTACCTTTTCAGTGGTGTAATAATTATAAAGCTCCTCGAAGTATTGAGAGTTAGAACAGCCTGTTGATGAACTAACTATATGTTGCCAGAAAGGTCTTCCATCATCTACGTATCTGTGTGTTTGTGAAGCAAAGTAAGTCTCTCACTTCCATCTTGAGCATTAAATGCTTGACAGAAATTGGGTTGTTTAATTTCTTTACACTGATTTCATTCTATATTTTACTCGGTTGATCTTGTTGCTTCATTAAATCAAGAGCCATCGCCATTAATTCTTGATGGTTTCCGAGAATCAAGAAAATCTTATCTCATAGTTTTGGGCTCATTTGATCAGTAAATAATTTTTCCATTGACGGTTTTAACTATTAAATAAACTTTTAGCATCAAAATGCAAATTTAGTAAATGTACAGAAATCAATAAATGCTAAAAGGTTACCTGAGTCGAGATCTGCCCCATGGTTGCTCATATGCTCTCCTGTATCTCTTCAGAATCTCATCTTCACTAAAATCCACTCCGTATTTCTCCCCAATCTGCTTATAAATCTACAATTACAACCAAATTCAGTGGATCCTCGTAAAATGAAGAACAAATTAACGGTTTCCCAAAAAAATTACGAGAATCGAGCAAATTATCAATTAAATCGACACATCGATCCTACGAATTTGAATTTCGGATGATACACACGGAGACTGACCTGAGCCATGGGCTGAGAAGGGATAACGAGGGTGCCAACGGCGTCCACCAACAGTGCTTTATGAGTGATTCCACCATGGAGCGTTTTTCTGTAATCTTCGTAATCTTTCAAACCGAACAACCGAGAATCCGCCTCTGATTCAAGGGAAGCCACTGCCGAAGAGTACGAGCTGTACCCCGAACCCAAACCCAAAAACGTGGTTACGCGATTCGTTGATACGACGCCATTAGAGGAGAAGAGGCGAGTGAATGTTGTCATGCGAGACGCCATTAGAGGGTTAATTAATATTCACCGAGCTTCATTTGAGTTCAGACATCACGGCGTAGAAATTGATCGTGGGTATGAAGATGATTTCCAAGAGATGCAATTTGGTTCTTGGCCTAATTTTTTTGTTCGCTTTGATTCAAGTTAAATGGACCTGTGGTTTAGAAAGGAGGAGAGATAGGTGAATAACTGTTGCATAAATGACCGTTGACCCCTTTGTGATTGCGATTTTTAACCATTATACCCCACAATTTTATTTTTTATTTTTTGTAGTACATAACAATTAACAAGGTATTGAAAGTTTAAAATTTAAATAATGACAAGACTTTACTTTATACACGAGAGGGCTCCTAGTTTCCCTCCACCTTACCACCATGTGCCCTTCCACATCAAAGTCGTATACTCCCCAGGGTGATTCGGTGGGAAGAAGATCTATAAAAAAGGAAAAGTGAGAGAAGAGAGAAGAAGAGAGATATGATAGATCGTGGTAAGTTGTGGTCAAGAGCAAGAGAAGTCCGGGTCATGGCACCAGGTCATCACCATGAGGCCTTCGTAAGGCTATCCGGAGTGGGATAGAAAATCACGCGTGGAAGGCTTATATGGCATGCAAAAGACTAGTGAACACCACCCCAATGGTTATGGCTTGGGCGTGGCGTGAGTGCAAAGACAAGACGCATCAAGACAGCCAATAAGAAATAAGGAGTAGCAAACGATTGCTTTCACCAATTTTCTCTTTAATTGATGTTACACATATGGTCCCTGAAAATATTCTTTTGTATCTCATTATACCCTTAAAAAAATAAGAAAATTGAATATTGTGGAGTGGTAACCATTTCCAATGTCTAGTGGGTTGGTGGTGAAGCTGACGTGGCACAGAGGTGGCACCACTTTTTCGATGGGTTGGTGGTGACCACTCCCCACAACCTAATGGTTTTCACGGTGGTTTTCCTCCTCCAACTCATCACCATAAAACTTTCATGTTATCCATACCAAAAGATTTGATGATAATACATCATTTATCTAGGAAAACGATATAAAATATAATTAACCTTTAAACGATTATTTAGAGTTCATTTGTTTCTAAAATTTGAAATTCTAAAACAAAAAGCAATATCAAAATTAAAAAAAAAAAAATTAAATTTTAAATTTAAGTTCTAAATAATTTACCTCTATTTGTGTTTCATATTCATTAACTTTCGTACTTTGTGTGGAATAATGCGTGAAAGGGTGAAAAAGAGGGGTTTAAGATTTAAACTTCTAGAATTTTAAAGTTTTAAAAATAAATCATGATAACAGAATTAATTAATGGACTTTATATGTGAGCATAGTTTGACAAATGAAGAATCAAATTTCCTGTCACACAAATTATTACTACATTAGACATTGTTGACAAATTTCAATAAAAACAAGTTAAATCAGATTGTATTTTATTATAATGGAGTTGCAACCTTTTTTTAAAAAACTCTGTTAAAAGATAAATATTAATAATATAATTTTTAATTTTAATTTAATAACTGGATTTTTAAAAACAAAAATAAAGTTCTGTTTCTTTGTACTAAAGTATTATTAGCATGTCCCAAAATAAAAAATCACTAAAATATTGGTTATATTCGTGTGCAATTTGTCCTTACATATATGTATGTACCTAGATATACCCAAATAGATATAAAATGATGTCGAGTTAATTAACAACTAAATTATTTGTTTGTTTATTAACATAATTTATAAAGTAAATTAGCGAATTTGAAACTAAAATCATTTAAATCGTAATTTTGGTTCAAGGAAATGGAATTCTAAATCTAAGAATTTTAATATAAGACAGTTTGAAGGATTTATAAATCATTCTATCATGAGGTTTAAAAAATTATTTATTTTCTTATGTTTGTGTTCTGGTTGCCATCGCCTTTTTTCCGAATCCATTCTATAAGGATTCTGGGTTTAAAAACCACTAGTGAAGCAACGCACCATGTTGCATGGTCATGCAATTTCAAATATATGATGATCACAACAAACAAAATAAGAATATTAAGATGCTACATCCGTTCCGTTTGGACCCTTTGAAATCCCTAATGCCAACTACGTTACTTTACATGTCTATTCCCATTCGGTCGAGTGATACCCCTCAAAACCTCACAAGTCACCCAAATTAAAACTTAGAAAGTTGTCTCATTCATCCTAAACATAGCCCAAATTATACAAACCAATTATCACCATCAATATGACATCTAATATAAAGTTTGTCATGCATCTAGATTATTTTAAGCTTCTTTTGGTTTACATATGTAACACCCATAAAATGATATTGGCATTTTTTATTTTTTTATGATTTACTACCCATTGTTTAATTATTATTATTATCATCGTCGTCGTCGTCGTCGTCATCGTTGTCGTCGTCGTCGTCATTATTATTATTATTATTAATATCAATGCAATTGTAGCAATAATAAGATACAAATGTATGAAATGTATAATTAAAGATGATGTAGTGTGGATATACAGTGTCATTAACAAGGTACATTTGAAGTAAGGTTGCAGAAATCGTTCGACGGTAGCTAGGCGGTCGACCGGGGTCAAGGGATTAATCGGTTAGGCGGAGATTAATCGGGGACCATTAGTTATTAATAAATTATTAAAAAATTAATAAATATAACATTAATCCTGATAATATAACATTAAATACAATATTAATAAATATAACATCAAAAATTAAGTTAAAAATATGGGCTCAAAATACCAGTAACAATCCAAATCTTTAACTTCTTAACTTAACCCTTGATAAAAACTATATTGCTGTAAAAAAATCAATAAATCTGGAACCAATCTCACAAACATCCAAGATAACATAAAACTAATCTCACAGACTTCCAAGATAACATAAAACTACACATAAGTATACATTACATTAACACCAATTTGATCATCAACAACCTTCACAACTTGATCATCAACACCTTCACAGCTTGATCATCAACACCTTCATCATCTTCACCTCTTTCTGCAAGAAGGATTTGCAGCTTTATTGACATCAACAACTCCTGAAACAACCCACTATATGTGTACAAGTAGAAGAAAACAATATGAATCTTTACCATAAAACATGAACTCAAACGCCTAGATAAACTAGTTGGCCTCCATATATTGATCAATTTTAGCTTTGGTACTTGACAAAGAACTTATTAACTAAAATTTGGTACTCCACAATTTGAATAGATGCCGATCAGATTCATGATAAGATTCATAAAATTTGGTAAAACCAAGCATCCTAATTGATCTTACATCAAGTGTAAAACCAAGCAACCTAATTGATCTTAAACCAAGCAACAGATGCTTGGAAAAGAAAGCCATTGCATCATATGTTTAGAAGAAAGCTATTTCAGCAAAACAATTTTCTGAAATCGATTTTTAGATCAAACAAATCGATTCTACAATAATCATCATCTTCATATGTTCTTCATTAAAACTTCAATCATATCGTCGGTTTCCAAAACCTAACCAATTTTTAATCAATTTTCTGAAATCGATTAACCAATTAAAACTTCAATCATATCTCATCGTTTACATCAAAAACTCAGAATAAGATGAATCAATCGAAACTTGAAAACAAAATTGATAGATTAGCAGTCGACGATGGCAGAAGACGTGAAGAAGAAGCGAAGAAGAAAAGAAGAAAATAAGACATGTCGGAGTCGACGATGCAGAAGACGATTGCAGAAGACGATGTTGTTCCTTTAATGTCGTGGCAGAAGACGATGGAAGAAGATTGACGGCATCAGGGTCAGAGTCGGAGTCGAGCAGGGTAGGAGTCGGAATCGAGCAAATTAGGGAAGAACGAGGTGCAAAGAACATATATGGAAGAGTAAAAGTTTGAGCATCCCACATCGAAGCTGCGAACACTCTATCAATGAAAACATACTCTATAAAAGGGAATCATCTATACAAAAATAAATGCAGTTATGTTTTAGGCAAGCCAGCTCCTTTGAGGTGGTGGGTCCTTTAGAGTCAGCTGGACCGATTAGGTCCGAGTTGGACCGATTTGGTCCGATTTTGTCCGAATTGGGTCGTCTTTGACCGATATTGACCAAGGCCGCCTAGCCTAACCCTCTAACACCTATTCGTAGGCGGTTGGAGGCCGCCAAGTGCCTAGGCGCCGATTAATCGGCCGCCTAGACCGATTTTTACAACCATGATTTGAAGTATGTTGTTATTATTTTATTTTTCCTTTATATAATTGATGGAGATATACAACAATTAGACAATTAAGGATTAACAAAAAAAAAATTGCAGTGGAGGTGAGAAATCATTTCTCTTAATGAAAATCACCCAATTTTGATCATTGATATGGATGGATTAGATCTTTTTCTTATGTTTGGGCATTAATTTATATGTTTGTAGCATTACTAAACAATTTAGTAATGTTATTGATGATGAAATATTAGGATATCTTAAATACCTAGGAGAATAGGGGGTTAAACCGGGTTTCGGACTACAAAATTATTCTTTTTCTGTTCCATTTCAACCTGGTTTATGATAATCTATATTATTTTTCTTACAAGCATAGTCAGTTATAAACAAAAAAAATTTAAAAAAGGAAAGTCGTATAAAGGTTTCTCAATGCGATGAACTATTCATAATCTAAGAAAAACGAATCGATTTTTGCTCCGGGAAGCAATTCTGGGACTAAGGAACAACTTGTGGTAAAAAATAGGATTTAAGAAGAAAAATTACTTAATATGTCAATGTTCTTCCGCCATCACCCCAAGTTCAAAACGTTCATCGGTAGATCGCGAAATGAAAAATGAAAACATACTTGATACTTGTCACCAATGACCTCTCGGACTTTATTTAAGAAAGTCTCTTCTCAAACATCAAAAATTTTAGTAGACCGGAATTTTTTGACTTGTATAATGAGAACTATATATTTAATCGTTTCATAGTGTATATAAATTTTCGCAACTAGATATTAGAAAATAAGTGATTGCATTGGAAAAGTTATTTCTAGTTTATAATTAAGAAAAATGGATATTTTTCATATATCTAAATAATAAAAATAATCTAGTTATTTTTTTTTCAAATTTAACGTTCTAGAAACTAATTGCAAGACAAATAAAACAATAGGAATATTTAAAAAAATAATAATAATAAATAAAAAATAAA